TTGATGATTGCCATTCTAACTGGCATGAGATGATATCTCACTGTGGTTTTGATTTGCATTTCTCTAATGACCAGTGATGATGAGCATCTTTTCATACGTTTGCTGGCTACATACATGTCTTCTTTTGAGAAGTGTCTGTTCATATCCTTCACTCACTTTTTGACGGGGTTGTTTTTTTCTTGTAAATTTGTTTAAGTTCCTTGTAGATTCTAGATATTAGCCCTTTGTCAGATGAATAGAATGCAAAAATTTTCTTCCATTCTGTAGGTTGCCTAAAACCAACATTAACAAATGGAATCTAATTAAACTAAAGAGCTTCTGCAGAGCAAAAGAAACTATTATCAAAGTGAACAGGCAATTCACTGTCTTTTTTTTTTTTTTAAATCTGTGGATTCTATAGTGATGACCTCTGTATTATGTTTCTATTGCTACTGTAGCAAATTCCCTCAAGTATAGCTGCTTAAACAGCACAAACTTATTTTATTTCAGTCCTGAAGGATAGAAGTTGTAAAGACATGTAGGTCTAAAATCAAGGTGTTGACATGACTTCTTCCTTCTGGAGCCAAGAGAAGAAAATTCATTCTTGCCTTTTCCAGTTTTTAGAGGCTGCATGTGGCTCTTTCAGCCATCTTCAAATAAAGCTGCATAACCTTTTGTCTTCCCTCTGACTTCCTGTCTCCCTCTCATAAAGACCTTGTAATTGTACTAATGCATCCAGAATAATCACCCTATCTTAAGATTCTTAATGCAATCACATCTACAAAGTCTATTTTGCCATTTAAGGTAACAACATATTCATAAATTTCAGGAAGATTGTCTTTGGGTGGAGAACATATTTCAGCCTACCTTGATCTCTTTTTCATTTCTGATATTACTAAGTTGTACCACCTTATTTTTTTCATGGTTAGTCTGTCTAAATTTTGTTGATCTTTTAAATTAGTTTTTTATTTTATAATCTTTTCCATTGTTTTTCTGTTTTTAAATTCATTGATTTCTGTTCTATTATTATGTTTCTTCTTCTGCTTGTTTTACAATTAAATAGCTGTTATTTCTCTAGTCTCCTAAAGAGTAAGATTGGATTATTTATTTTAGATCATTTTTTCTTTTCTAATATATCCATCTAATATTATACATTTTCTTCTAAGTACTACTTTCATCGTATACCACAAATTTTAATAAGTTGCATTGTCATTTTTATTTAGTTCAAAATATTTTTTAAAAATTTCTCTGTGACTTCTGTTTTTTCATGTGTTATTTAGAAGTGTGTTGTTTTATCTCCAAATATTTTGGAATCTCCCAGCTGTATTTCTGTTTTGGATTTCCAGTTTAATTCCACTGTGATCTGGTAACATACCTTCTATGATTTCTATACTTCTAAATGTGTTAAGGTGTATTTTATGCCTGGCAATGTGGTCTATCTTTGTAAATGCTTCAAGTGAGTGTGAGAAAAACGTGTATTATGCTGTTGGATGGAGTATTCTTTAAGTGTCAATTAGCACACGTTGATTGATAATGCTATTCAGGTCAACCCTATTCGTAATTTTGTGTTTGCTTGTTCCATCAATTGTGAAAAGAGAACTGTTGAAGTCTCTAAGTGCAAAAGAAGATTTCTCTAGTTCTCCCTGTAGTTCTATAAGTTACTGTCTCATGCATCTTATTCTCTTGTTAGGTGCATTCATGTTAAACATTGTTATGTCCTTTTGAAGAACTGGCCCCTTTTATCATTTTGTCAGGCCCCTCTTGATTCCAGTTAATATTTATATACTTTTCTGAAATCTGATTTGTCTGAAGTTAACATACTACTCAAGCTTTCTTTTGATTAATGTTGGCATGGTATATCTTCCTCCATCCTTTACTTGGATCATACCTGAGGATTTGTATTGAAAATGGTTTTATGATAGACAATGTGCAATAGGGTCTTTCTTTAAAAAAAAAAAAATCCCTCTGACAATCTCTTTTTCAATTGATACATTTAGATCACCCAAATTAAAAGTGATTTTTGATATAATTGGAATAGTATTTATCATATTTATAACTCTTTTCTATAAGATCACTTACTCTATTCAATGTTTGTCTTCCCTTTTTCTGCGTTCTCTGGTTTTAATTGAACAGTTTATATGATCCTATTTTATTTACTCTCTTATATCTCGATTGTATTTTATTTTAAATTTTTATAGCAATTGCTATAGAGTTTGCAATATATCTTTACAACTAGTGCAAGTCCACTATCAAATAATATATAGTACTTCACATATAGTGCAGAAACTTAGAACAAAGCACCCCAAATTTCTCCCTCGCACGCCTTATGACATTGCTGTCATTCATCTCACTTATTCATGTGCTGCACTCACTGAAAACGGTTACTATATTTCTTTCAAGCAAATGGTTGCCTATTAGATTGATGAAAAATAAGGAAAACAAAATATTTTATTTAACTTTTTTATGCCTTTTTAATGCTCATCTTTAAGTAGATCTGAGTTTCAGACCTATATCATTTCCCTTCTCCCAGAAAAACTTCTTTTAACATTTTTTGCAAAGCAGTTCTGCTGAAAATGAATTCCCTTTTTTATTTGTCAGAGAAAGTTTTTTATTGCTTATTCACTTTTGAAGGAAAGTTTTGCTGGCTATAAAATTCTAGTTTGGTCATTATGTCTTCCAATTCACTAAATAGTTTATTTCACTCATGGTTTATGATGAGAAATCAGTTCTAATTTTTGTCCTTGATCCTCTGTGGGTAAGCTGTCCCCCAAACTCCCTGGATACTTTCAAGATTTTCTCTTAGTCTTTGGTTTTCTGAAGATTGAATATGATATGCCTAAGATTGGTTTTTGGTATTTATTCTACTTGCTGTTCTGTGAGCTTCCTGGATCTAGAGTTTGGTGTCTGTCATTAATTTTGGAAAATACATGATCATTATTACTTTAAATTTTTCTTTTTTTCTTCTTATATTGCAATTATATATATGATAGAGTTTAAAAATTATCCCACATTTCTTGGATAGTCTGTTCTACGTATTCACTCTATTTTCTCTTTGCATTTCAGTTTGGGAAGTTTCTGTTGATCTATTTTCAAGCTTACTGATTCTTTATTGGTCAGGTATAGCCTACAGATAAGCCCCTCAAAAACATCCTTTTTGGGAGGCCGAGGCTGGTGGATCGCCTAAGGTCAGGAGTTCAAGACCGGCCTGGCCAACATGGTGAAACCTGGTCCCTATACAAAAATTAGCTGGGTGTGAACTTCCAGCTACTTGGGAGGCTGAGGCAGGAGAATCACTTGAACTCAAGAGGTGGAGGTTGCAGTGAGCCCAGATTACATCACTGCACCCCAGCCTGGGCAACAGAGTGAGACTTTGTCTCTAAAAAAAAAAAAAAAAAAAAAAAAAAAAACAAAAAACACAATACTTTGTTTTTATTACATTGCTTTTGATGTGTAGCATTGTCTTTTGATTCTTTCACAGAGTTTCTGTTTTTCTGCATAGAGTATGCATCTTTTCCATCATCCATTTTCTTCATCAAAGCCCTTATCATGTCAATCATAGTCACGTTTAGTTTCCTGTCTAATAGTTCCAAAATCTATATTTGAGTCTGGTTGTGATGTTTGTTTTATCTCTTCAGACTATGTTTTTCCTTACTGTTCAGAAAAAATTTTAATTTCTCTTGAAAGCTTCACATGATGTACTAAGTAATAATAACTGAAGTAAAAGACATTTAGTGTACAGTTTTTCATTAATTTCACTAGGATTCAGTTTGCATTTAATGATTGCTATAGTTGTAGGTGCAAGAGGCTTAAAATTTCTCTTGTGTTCTTGTTTCTGTCTCTCCTATTGCCTTGTGATTTCCTAATAACTCCTGCTTACATAGTGTACCTTGCAGCTCTTCAGTTGTGATCTATTGTCATTAAACTGGATCCCTATTGATGTGGTAGTGTCTGAGCAAGGGAAGTATTATATAATCTTATGATTAAATCTCAGTATTTGTGTGAGTCTACACCCCAGGTTCATGACTTTCAAAAATGTTTCTTATCTCTCTTTCTGTTAGGTAAGATGAGAAGGCTAGATGTGGCTGGGTTGGAGGAAAATGCACTCACACTCAGGTGAGATATGATGCTCATAAAGTCTTTTTACCTGGAAGTAGGCCTTTGTTGTTGAGAATGCTCTGGGCTGATTTAGAAATGTTTTCTTTTTTTCTTCTCCTGCCAAAGCCATGAGAGGATTATTCTTGACTCTCTACCAAGAGAACTTGTTGGGATTCCTGAAGGTGAACTCCATGAAGGTGTGAGGGCTTTCCTAGGACTGCAACTTCCATGAGTTTCTCAATCTTAATGCCAATCTGCACTCAACATCCAACAATTTTTCAAAATTACCATTTAAATGTTTCTAACAGCTTGTAGCTCCAGAGGCTTCTGCTCCAGGTAAGCAGAAATATAAACAATTCTGTGCATTTGGGTGCTTTTCCAGATATTGGGGTACTAACTTGCCCTGCTACCTCAGTTTCTCATTATCCCAAAGCAAAGTTGTTGATTTTAAGTTTATTCAGAATTTTCTTGTTTTAAAGAAGAGAGTAATGGCTTCCAAAGCTCTTTATGTCAACAATGTAACCAGAAGTTTAAGTAATTCATTGTTTACCGATTTTATAAAAGTCACCATACAAGATGGACTGCAAATTAAAGAAAAAAGATGATCCTTCATAGAAAATCATTGAGAAGTTTTGTTTTAAGTAATATCAGACTCTGCTAGGGCTGACTGTATCACAGCATCAGGGACAATGTGTGGGCAGTGAGTGTGAGAGGAAGCCCTGTCTTCATTTATTCATGATACAAACCCTGCCTGAGCAGGGCCCACACCTTCATTACAAATACATGGATGGGGATGCTCATACAGTAATTTCCCCTTAGGCCTGGGTGAGATTGGGAGGAGCCAAGACTCAGTGTTTCGTCGTTCCCCCAACTTCTCCCTCCTCTTCCAAAGACTCTTACTATAAGAATAAAACAAAATCATATAGGTATAAAGTCACATTTTTATTATTATTCTCTGAGGTCTTAGGACATGGAAGACAAAGAAGAGCTTAAAATGAAGGTGAGGAGAAAGGAAAAAGAAGGTGGATCATGACGAGGTGGTCAGGTGTTTGGGGAGCATATTCACTTTCAAGGTAGTCTTCACTCTGGTCTTATGCTCATGATGAGCCTCACACCAAACTCAGGTGGCTGACTTCTGCCCTAGACCTTGAACTTGCAGACATAGGGTAACGTTGAATCACAGTTATAATCTTTCCACTTCAGAAATCCTAGAAAGACAGAATGTAAAATGCATGGGGCTGGGGTAAACTTGTGAACCCAATGAAAAGGCATCCCAGGTTTCAGCCTAGGATTTAAAGCTGCTCTCTCATCATCACCAGTATCTCAATCCAGGGGAAGGAGACTCAAAAAAGCAGAGATTTGAGGAGATGGGAGAAGATACATCAACACTACATTTCCTAGCTGAAAAGGATTTCCTAAAGGTCAGGTCTAGAAATGGGGTGAAAGTGCTAGGAAGAGGCGGCTCTTCTGTTTCTTACCTGTGCTTCTTGACAGGCTCCCACAGTGGCCAGGGTTTGTGATGGTGGAGGGATTTTTCTCCCATGCGAAGTAATTCATCACATCAGTGCTACTCCACTCCCATCCATCTCCACCAAGCTCGGCACCCTATAGAGGAGGCAGCCATGTGAACAAAATAGCCATTGAAGCTCTCTTTGCATGGCCCCTTAGCTGTAACACCTGATACCCTCCCCAGCCTCAGGAATTTTGGTCTGCTTGTCCAGATGCTACCCTAGAGTCCTCTGCGATGGAAGCTCTCCTTGACTCCTTGTTGTTATTGGCAAATCACAGCCAATAAACACAAGATCTTTGGAAACACTCAAGGTAATATGCTACTTACAGAACAATAAGTTCTGTAGCATTTGTGATTAGCCTGTGAACCTCACAGATAATGTCTATTCTGGGGGGGGGGGGGTGCAAAATTGATCCTATCTTAATTTAGAATTCCCTCAGAATAATAGATGCAGACTCCCTGAAGCTTATATAATTGATTTGTAAGCATTCATGTGAGAATTATGTAAAAGGTTTTACAAGAGTCTGATTAATTTTATCTAAATATTAGAGACCTCCACAGATTTCAGCTTTTCGGTTGTCTCATGGACTTTCTTTTCCCCCAAATGTTCCCCAGAATCTGAGCTCCAGTGCTCTCTGAAGTACTTCCTAGGCAGGCACAGGGGACAGGGATTGGGCCTGGGCAACAACAGCAGTCAGCGTGAGAGGTAACAGAGAGGAGAGGATATACTCGCACCTGTGTGGGGTCATGAAGACCAATCCAGACGTACGAATAGTGGTGATTAACGCTCTTGACCAGGAGAGGACACGAATGATCCCTCCGCCCCGCTGAGCACAGACACCAGATTTCCAGAGGGCCGCTTCTGGCAGGCCAGCTTTGAAGGGGAGACAGAGAATGAGAGAGAGCTTCAGACCTGCTGGGGGATGGCAGGGCAAATGTAGGTGGGAGGACGACTGTGTGAAAGATAAGTGCATTCCTCCTCATTCCCAAGGAACTTTCCTGAATGGAGACCCTCCTCCCCATGAAACCTGCATGGACTTTCCCCGTCACCTCTAATCCCACATCTAACCACTCACATCTGCATCTATCCAGGATTTTGGTGACGTAAACAAGGCATAGCAGTGGGAGCCATAGGCCTTGGAGCCTTTGGGACAGCTGATCCGCGGTAAGGGCAGTTCCTGCTGGGGATCCTCACCTGTGGTGGAAGAAGAGGGATAGGGTAAAATGAAGAGTGGGGATTGGGCTGGGAGAGCACCTTGGGGAATACCTAGGCCTGTCCTGGGGGGGGAGACCACATTCCTGACTCCCCTTCATCTTTCCTCATGTTTTCAGAAGTTCTTTATCTCAAAATAACCCTATAAATGGGGCACCATCTAGTCTCTTATTACCCTTTCCCTTTATTCAACCAGTTAACACTCTCTTCACTCTGGGCTGTCTCTACATTGGGTCCTCCAATTATTGTCCCTCCCCGCATCTCATTACTGACCCTCCACACTTTCCCACTGATGTATATTAGAGTGCACTGACTAAATGGAAGCCATCTCATTCCATTGTTAGTGGACCACCGTGGAGCCTCCTTCTGCAAGTTAACCTGAAGGAAGGAGTGATGATGCAGGAACTGCAGGCAGGCTCATTAGACACCACACCATCACCTCACGTGACAGGCAGGAGCCTTCCACCTCTTCTTGGCTCTGAGCCTTCACAGGGAACCCACTGCTAGAGGCAGGGGAATCTCACCTTGGACCTGAGACAGGAGCATGAGGCAGGAGAGCAGCATCCAGGACACGCTGGGCAGGGCCATGGGAGGCAGCATGGTGTCTTCAACTTGAGGAGGCAATCAAGGGTCACTAAAGGAAGAGTGGTTAGTGGGAGAACATGCAGAGACGCTATTGCCTTTTGTGTTTTTTCCTTCTCTAGTCCCCTTGGAATAAAGTGATATTGGTCACATCTGTCCTACAGTTCTGAGTGAGTTATGAGTCTGTGTGCTCTTGCATCCCCGAGCCCTCCCAGGACAGCCTTGCTGAGTCTCAGAGCTCCTGTGCTCTCTGAGGAAGAGACCCTCCCAAGCTTCTCCTGTATCATGTGAGGTGGTCCCTCCCTGGGTCTCACCTTGTCTCAGCTCTTACCTCTGTGGTGAGATCTGGTGTGCTTTCTCTGGTCAGGAAACACTGGGTTTTTATAAGAGGATCTTAGGGAGGGGCATTGGAGTGAATAACGGCCCTGTGCAGGCGGGGCCCGGGTCATGGGGAGGCCTTGGCATTGGTTCAAAAGATATCTTTTCAGGAAGGAGACTCTTCCTGGCAAAGGCTGGGAATTGTCACAGTTGCTGCCTTTTTCCCTTTAGCAGGTCAGCACTTTCCCCACAAACAGTTGAAGTTTGCACATTTCCCACCCTCTTCCAGATAACTTCTGAGAAGCTTATGGGAATAAAGGCAGTCTTGTGAACCTGGTATCACATAGTTTAGAAAATATTATGGCATTACATAGTTAAGAGAAATGTCAGAAGTGTGCTTTTGATTAGCCTGCCAGGAACTCCCTTCTGCAGGCATACATGTGAATTTCTTTATACCTTATCTAGTAACATTTAAAATAAATTAATAAATAAAAATTGGGCAGGCATTGAAATTAGAAGTATTGGTGAAGACAATGTATTAGTTGAGATAAAGAACGAATAGAAACCAGGAGAGGCAGCACTGATTCAGATTCACTGCTTCAACTTTGCAGCAAGAGGTAAAGGAAGCTTGAAATAGACTTGTGAGTCAATAGGCAAGCCAAGGTCTTATGGAACAGAAGTTAGATAGATTTGCCTTCCAGCTACCTTTGTGTGAGAAGATCAAGAGACAGTTCCTTGGTTTATAGTAATTCTGAGCTGACAGTTTGATACCTCAGAGTAGCACTCTTTGATTGTAATCTGCACACCCATAGGAATCTTCAGGGCCTGTTCAGAGTAGCTGTGCAGTTATAATTTTCATAATTACACAAAAATGTTATTTGTCATTTTCACTATGTTGACATTTGCACTGATGAGGCAAAAGAAATGGAGGATAGAAGTTCTGGTGCGTTAACATTAATCAAGGCAGTGGCACCAAATTTTATTGCTCATAACCACGCTTCTGCAAGAAACAAAATAAAGGCATTTTTGCTTGAAAATTCTCTTGAACTTGATGAAATAGAGTAGTGAATTGACTTCAGTAAATCTCAACCCTTGAATATATCTAGAGGAAATATTCTATATGACTAAGAGAAGTTGATATGCTAAAGTATAATGGTTGTCTTGGGGGAAATAATTTGTAACACTGAGTTTTAATTCACTATTTCCTGGAACATCATTTTTACTTGAAAAATAAACCCAGTGGCTCATGCCTGTAATCCCAGCACTTTGGGAGGCCGAGGCAGATGGATCACGAGGTCAAGAGATCGAGACCATCCTGGTCAACATGGTGAAACCCCGTCTCTACTAAACATACAAAAAATTAGCTGGGCATGTTGGCACGTGCCTGTAATCCCAGCTGCTCAGGAGGCTGAGGCAGGAGAATTGCCTGAACCCAGGAGGCGGAGGTTGCGGTGAGCCGAGATCGCGCCATTGCACTCCAGCCTGGGTAACAAGAGCAAAACTCTGTCTCAAAAAAAAAAGAAAAAAGAAAAATAAACCCAGACAAACTTTACTTGTTGACATATGGGAAATTTGTTAACATGTTTTCAAAAATGATAAAAATGAACGAGTAAATAAATATTTTTAAATTTTATATATACATTATTATAAATATCAATAGCTCACATAAACAAAAATTGGGGGGGGGGGATCGTCAATATTTTTTAAGAGTGTAAAAGTGTCCTGAGATCAAAACAGTTTGAAACTTCTGGTTAACATCTAGCTGGCAACGTCCGAAAAATATAGGAGATGGAGACAGTATTATATTGCAATGCAAGAATACCATCATCAAAATTTAGAAGGTGGGAAATTCTACAGGACAAATAAGTACATTTCCCCAGCAAGTGAATTTAAAGAAGTAAAGCAACATATCACTCTTAACATGTGAAAGATACATCAATCAAATAAAGTGTGTGAACCAGGCTTGGATCCTGATTTGAACAAATTAAAAAAATTAAAAAACAAATGGGTAAAAGTATTTGATAACGTTAAGGGACTATATCATGTTCAGATGTAGTTATGGTATTGAAATTATTATATTTAAAGTATCCTTATCATTTAAGATCCATAATACTAACAAATGAAATATGTTATTCAGGATTTACTTCAAAATAATCTAGCATGGTAGAGATAAAGAAAGAAATAGATAAAACAAGAGAGGCCTTGAGGTCATGATAGTTTTTTCTTGGTGGTAGGTATTATAACACTATTGTCTTTGGAATTTTATAACACTGTTGTCTTTGGAATTTTATCTAAAATATTGGGGGAAATTTTGAGAAAAAGAAACATTCAGGGCCATCATGAGAAATAAATTTGAAGACCAATCTGATCAAGAACATAGCTCCAAAGTTCCTGAACGAAACACAAAACAAATTGAATTCACTGACATATACAATAAATGAAGAGAAAGAAGAGTTAATCATGGAAATAATGATAGTTTATTATGATGAACTACTAATACAACTTCCAAGTTCAGAAATTCAAAGAGAAAAAATATACAGTGATTTTAAAAGAACAAAATCACCAAGTGAAATTCAAAGCCCATTAGTAACTGACAGAAGTCTTAAACAAGAGTTAGGAATAGCTTTAACATGGTAAAGAAATCTATAGAGACTCAAAAGTAAAATACTGAAAAGACTTCCTTAAAAATCAGGAATATACAAGTGTCCCACCTTCATTGATTCTAGCATCCATTAGAAAGTACACTTAGAAAAGAAAAAAAAAAATTAAATAGGGAATGAGTAAAGTTGTCACTATTTGTATATGATATGCTTTCTCCGTAGAAAATCCAGAAGACTCTTCAAATTAATTGTTAGAATTAGTGGATGAATTTAGTAAACAAGAAGGTAAGATCAATATATAAATCCCAATTGAATGTTTATATTCCAACAATAAAGTCAGAAAAGGCATTTTTAAGAAAAATACTGTTTTTAATAGGAAGAAAAATATAAAGGCTTTAGAAGTGTATCTGACAAAAATAGTCAAGACCACATGAACCCTTTTCCACTTTAAAGACTTTAATATATGTAAAAATGTATCATGTTTTAGAGAGACAGATTCAATACCCTGAAGAGGTTACTTTTCCCTACACAGATGGTCCCCAATTTATGATAGTTCTACTTAAAATTTTTCTGTCATACCGTGTTGACAAAATGATACACATTCCCTAGAAACCTTATTTCAGATTTTGAATATTGTTCTTTTAGTGGGCTAGCAATATGCAGTATGTTACTTTCTCAAGGTGCCTCAGCATGGCAGCAAGCACTGCCCCGGTGGATGCCATCATGAAAGTAAACAACTGCTACTCCACAGTGTACTGTGTCTTTCAGATGATTTTGCCCAACCATGAATGCAGGTGGTGTGCCTGGGGACTGTCTTAATAGCTGGCTATCATAATTGGAACCTGGTACTTAAATAGCCAAGGGCTTGGCCCTTTCTCCCACCCTCCTAGCAGACCATTTTTAATCTACATAATTCAGTTTGTACACAGGAGGAGGAACTTTACTCAATTTTGTCCAGCAGTCCTCAAATTTCAAATAAACTTGGATGTATAGTGGGAGCAGAAGACAGGGTGCTTATGTTCAGTTGTCTGACTCTATGGCCCTGCCTATTCAAAAAGGTTCAGTTAAATATGAATTTATCATTACTTTCCCTTTCAAACTTTACTGGTGATTCCTCCATTATCTACTCTTCTGATTTCCTACTGGTACACAAAAAACTATCCCAAGATTAGTGGCATGAAACAAGTTATTATTATTTCTCATGTTTCTATGAAGTAACTGGGATTGCCTGGATGGTTCTCCCTTGGAAATTTCTCATGAAGTTGCATATAATGGCTGTTGCATGTAATGAAGCATCAAATGGACTGGCCTTCAAAGATGATTACACACATGGGTAGCAGTTGATGTTGGTTATTGCCTGAGTGCTCAGATGGGACTACTAATGAGAATTACAATGCAGTGGCCCTGCGCCTTGAACTTCTTACAGCATGGAGGTGTCAGGATAGTAGAACTTTTTAAATTGTCAGCCATGGCTCCAAGAGGGCAAAGCAGAAGCTGCTGGTCCTTTGGGGCTAGGTCATTAAATAACATAATGCTATTTCCATCATACTCTGTTGATCAAGCATGAGTTTGCATTCTCAGGACCTAGCACATTAAACCCTCAATAATATAAACAAATTGATACATTTATTCACAATAAGTTAAGCAATTATGTCAGCTGCTTTTAACCTCAAAATGCTTTACAGGCTAATGAGACTTAGCTTTTAATTTTATTTTTTGCATTAAATCTGTTATTTTGAGTAGGTGACTTGATTCCCCCTGGGCCTGTGTTTCTTAATTTTTCAATGATGATGTTGGACAAAGACAGCACTGAGGTATATTCTATAATTTTCTTATTATTGACCAGAATGCTGGAATATTATGAATGTGGGTTAAGAGATTTCCTGGAAAACAGTTACTGCTCCCATATGTAAATCTCAGACAACCTTTGGGAAGGCCGTCTTCCGATTGCATCAGACCGTTTATTCATGAGCAAGCTTTGGAAAAAGTAAGTTATTATAAAACAGCCTGGAAATGGAGCAATTACAGAGAATTTTTCACTCTATTATTTTGTATTGGCTATTAGAAACAACTTGTTTCTGAAACGGAAATATACTGACTAAGCTCTCTATACATATGTGCATAAATGCTTAAAGAATCATAACCTAGCATTTTAGATTAAATAACTTTATTAAAATAATGATTATTTGTTAAGTTCTGTGAGCTTATTTCCCATGAGTCTTTAGAAGAAAGCATTTATTTCATTTAAAAAACGTAATGTGGCAATTGACAAATATATGATAAGTTACTAAGGAAGAATCTGATCATTAAAAAATCAAGTTCCTTCAGAAAATCTTTCAAAAATTAGTAGAATTTGAGGGTTTTTGTCTGTTTCTAACTTCTTTTTAATTTAGGGACTAATTTGAGTCCAGTAGGAAGACCAGTTA